TGACCAGAGAAGCTGAATCAGATGTTTGTACAGAATGAATGTTATATAATGTTGGAGTTATTATATAAACACGGTGAGTAATCACAATACGGTCCACTGAGTGTTTGTGAGTGTGTGTGTGTGTGTTAGCCGCAGGCTGGACGGAGTGTGTTCCGCCTGACTGGACGCTGCGCTGTGGTGCTGCACTCGTCTGTCAGAGTCACTCCGTCCTGCAGTGTTTCAGCTTCAGGAGCTGGACGGTGTGGAAATTTCAGACCTCAGTGACCGACACTAAAACCATGTCCTGTATTATCGCTGCACTGTTTCCTTACAAACATAATAATATACATATACATTATATAAATTATCTACAATAATAAAAATCTATAATAATATATAACAATAATAATATATACTACTAATAATACAGGAACAATTTCTACATCAATAATCTACAATAATCTATAAAAACTCCTCATCTGTAAGATATTCCTGCAGTGCTGTTTTATCTATATTTCTTCTGTAATATCCTTCAGTGACTGTAGTGAGTTTCTGATTTTCTGTAAGATTCTAAGAATTATGTAACACGACTCCTGTAAACATTACTGTAATACTATACTGATGTATATGTATACATATATACATATAGACAATACTGTACTGTGTGTGTGAGTGATTGTGTGTATAACACTGTTCCATTATATTAACTAATATATAATATACTGTAATATCACTGCAGATGTTTTTATAAAGTTCTTCTGCGCTGTATCATCACAACCTGAATCTGAATCTGTTTGTTTATGTAAAGTTTCTGCAGTTCATCAAACAAAGAGCTTCAATAAGAGCTTTACCTTCAGCCTGAGATCACAGCTTCGTCCATCTGCTGAACTGCTGACCTTCAGAACTCAACACTGCTTTCAACAACCTGAGCATCATCAGAACCCCGAGGAACATCCTGAGGAACATCCTGAAGAACATCCTGAGGAACGTGCTGCTTTAGAGATGTTTCAGATGATTCCTCCATAAAGGACCAGATCAGGATTCCTCAAACAGGGAGAGAAACAGCAGCGGAGATCAGCTCTGTATTGATCAGCTCTGTATTGATCAGGTCTGTATTGATCAGCTCTGTATTGATCAGGTCCAGCTGTGTTTGGTCGTTGTGAGCTGATTAATCTCCTGTCTTCATTCAGGGTTTTCCATTCATGCTGATGATGAGACACTGAAACTTTCCAGATCCTCAAAATTCTCTCGCGAACCTCCCGGCTCGTTTCCCCGCGCGCAGCCTCCGCTTTTCCGTCTCAGAGCTAACAGCTAACAGAGTTCAAACTACAGCAGTTCTTCACTCACACCGCGGAGTGACACCATCATCATCATCTTCATCCTCATCCTCGCGCGTGTTTCTGTAAATAAATTCACACTTTAAGCCCCGCCCACCCCTCGCGCGCTGTGACGCATGTCTCAGTTCGGAAACTCCGCCTCCGTTCAAACGACCTTAAAATACAACGTCAGTATTAAAATTATTCTTAACAAAACGGGATAAAAACAAACGCCTTAAATGAGTTTATTATAAAACACATTATTAATAAATAACTATAATTTGTAACAGTAACAGTGCGTAAATCTGCTGAACCGGTTCAGGTGGAACTCAGTTTAACAGCACCAGAGAACCTAATGTGGAGAGAAAGAGGAGGCGGGGGGTTACGGGGGGGGGTGGTGTTCAGAACGAGAGAGATTTTTTTCAAATTGTCCACTAGGGGGCGGTGTTGACCTGTGTGTTTGAGCTGCTCCGGTTTCGGGTGTGTAATTTTATTCTCGCGGCTGTAAAAGAGACGGAGGAATAAAAAACAAAGAAATCAGTGAAACATCCTGATAAAATATAAAGTCTTTAATATTCATAACTTCAGAATCTTTGAAGTCTCTTTTTTTACCCTCAGGCTGAAAATCAGCCGAAACGCAGATGAAACTAAAAGCTTTTGATTTCGATTCTGTAAGTGATAAATTAAAAGTGCTAAATGATTTTAAACTTTTTAAGTTTAAACTCTGAATTAATTTTTACACCATTTTTACATTTGAACACAGACAGAAATTATGTTTTGTAGAAACAATATTGAAACTGTTTTCTTCTCCTGTCTGTGAAGCAGTGCATGCTGGGATCATTTCCATGTAGATCATTAACCATCATTTAATAACTGAGAAGTTAAATTATGTTCAATTAAATTTGACAAGTTATACTTAATAATTTTATCATTTGTTGTACATAAATCTACATTTTTGAAAACTCCCAATATTTTTAATAGATTTACTTTATAATAACGTGTCAAAAGTAAAAAAGTGTAAACCTTTCAGTGAACTTACTGTACTTTATTTACTGTTTATTTTTGTTTGTATTTCTATATTACATTATTATTCTAATATTCTATAATTTTATGGTGTTATTTGTTCAGTGTCATATTTCAGTTTCCTTTATTTAAACTGGTCACTGAAAACTGGTGAATTTGATTAATTGAGTATTAATATTTAAATCAAGATTAAAACACTCAGATTACAGATCAGCCGTGTTGCAGGTGCTTTGTGCTGTTTCTACTGGAGAACATAAGAAAGAGAAATAAAACAATAAACATAAAAGAATGAAGTAAGAAATATAAAAATATGAAGATGTGAGTTAAAAAACAGTTAAATGGACAGTAAAGACAGAAAGAGAGCAGAGACACATTCCACAGCAGACAGAAACTCCAGAACAGAGAGATGCTAAAGAGCAGAGAGACGTTCCAGAGTAGAGAGATGCTCTGGAGCAGAGAGACACTACAGAGCAGAAAGATGCTCCAAAACAGAGACACGGTCAAGAGCAGAGAGACACTCCAGAGCAGAGAGATGCTCAAGAGCAGAGAGACATTCCAGAGTAGAGAGATGCTACAGAGCAGAAAGACACTCAAGAGCAGAGAGATAAACAAGCAGAGACATTCCAGAGCAGAAAGACATTCCAGAGCAGAGAGACACTCCAGAACAGAGAGATGCTCAAGAGCAGGGAGATGATCCAGAGCAGAGAGACGCTACAGAGCAGAGAGACACTCCAGTACAGAGAGATGCTCAAGAGCAGGGAGATGATCCAGAGCAGAGAGACGCTACAGAGCAGAGAGACACTACAGAGCAGAAAGACACTCCAAAACAGAGACACGGTCAAGAGCAGAGAGACACTCCAGAGCAGAGAGATGCTCAAGAGCAGAGAGACGTTCCAGAGCAGAGAAACACTCCAGAACAGAGAGACACTCAAGAGCAGAGAGACGCTACAGAGCAGAGACACACTACAGAGCAGAGAGACTCTCCAAAACAGAGAGACACTCAAGAGCAGAAAGATGCTCTGGAGCAGAGAAATGTTCCAGAGCAGAGAGATGCTCCAGACGTTCCAGAGCAGAAAGACACTCCAGAGCAGAGAGATGCTCCAGAGCAGAGAGACACTCCAGAACAGAGAGATGCTCAAGAGCAGAGAGAAACTCCAGAACAGAGAGATACTACAGAGCAGAGAGTCGCTCCAGAACAGAGAGACGTTCCAGAGCAGAGAGACACTACAGAGCAGAGAGATGCTCAAGAGCAGAGATGTTCCAGAGCACAGAGACACTACAAAGCAGAGAGACGCTCCAGAGCAAAGAGACACTCAAGAGCAGAAAGACGCTCTGGAGCAAAGAGACACTACAGAGCAGAGAGATGCTCCAAAGCAGACACTACAGAGCAGAGAGACACTACAGAGCAGAGAGACGTTCCAGAGCAGAGAGACACTCCAGAACAGAGAGATACTACAGAGCAGAGAGACGCTCTAGAACAGAGAGACACTACAGAGCAGAGAGACACTCCAGAACAGAGAGATACTACAGAGCAGAGAGACACTCCAAAGCAGAGAGACATTTCAGAGCAGAGAGACGCTCCAGAGCAGAGAGACGTTCCAGGGCAGAGAGATGCTCCAGAGCAGAGAGACACTCCAGAACAGAGAGATGCTCAAGAGCAGAGAGATGTTCCAGAGCACAGAGACACTTCAAAGCAGAGAGACGCTCTGGAGCAAAGAGACACTACAGAGCAGAGAGACGCTCCAAAGCAGACACTACAGAGCAGAGAGACACTACAGAGCAGAGAGACGTTCCAGAGCAGAGAGACACTCCAGAGCAGAGAGACGCTCCAGTACATAAAGAAGTTCCAGAGCAGAGAGACACTACAGAGCAGAGAGACGTTCCAGAGCAGAGAGACACTCCAGAGCAGAGAGACGCTCCAGTACATAAAGAAGTTCCAGAGCAGAGAGACGCTCCAGTACATAAAGAAGTTCCAGAGCAGAGAGACACTACAGAGCAAAGAAATGCTCCAGAGTAGAGAGGCCCTACAGAGCAGAGAGACACTCTCGGACAAGCAAAATTGTCCAGACTGGTTTTGACTCTTCTGTGTCGGTACTGGCAGCAGAGGGACCGTTGGGCGTTTCTCCCTCACTGGATTGTGGTCGCCTCCCCGTTTTTAGAGTTTCCTGATTTTGTAGGTCTGATTTTGTAGGTCTGAGTTTGTAGGTCTGAGTTTGTAGGTCTGAGTGCTGTGATTGTTCTGCTAATAAACAACTCATTCAACTTCAGCTCATTAATCACATTCAAATCATTTCTGCTGCTTTTTCTCAACACTGTGTTCATCATCATCATCATCATCATCATCATCGCTCTCCTCACTTCAGCTGGCCTGAATTAACACACACAGAGATTTACAGCCCCAGCACCAGATGGAGAGAGAGAGAGAGAGAGAGAGAGAGAGAGAGAGAGAGAGCGCACAGCTGAACAGTTGAAAGAAGAAAGAGTGAAAAAAACAAAAGAGGAGCAGAGGTAGAAAGAAAAGGTGAGCGAGAAAAAAACAAGAGAATACAGACAGGAGGAACAGAGAAAGACGGAGAGAGAAACAGACAGGAGGAAAAGAGGGAGACGGAGAGAGAAACAGAGAGGAGGAAAAGAGAGAGAAGGAGAGAGAAACAGAGAGGAGGAAAAGAGAGAGAAGGAGAG